CGTTCAGAAGGCAGATGGACGGCCGCGGCGGCGGCGGTGAGTGGAGAGGAGCCGAGGCTGACCTGAGCGCCGGAGGGGAGCAGGGGGAGCTGGGCAGGCGGGGGTGGGTGCGGGAGTTGGAAAGGGGCAGAGCAGCCGGAGGAAGGCACGTCCAGGAGGAAGGGTCGGGGTCCCGCGCCAGCTGCGGGGGCTGAGGCCACCCTTGCCAGGGGTGCGGGCGGGGGGCGAGGGCCGGGCCTCCCTCCCGCCGCTCCGCAGCCGCCCGGGCCGTGGCGCGGCCGGTGGCCCGAGTCTGCACGGATCTCGGGCTCCGAGGGCGCGGACGGGCAGCTCCCAGGCCCCCCTAGAGGGTGGGGCGGATGGGGTGGGCTGGGTGGCCCGACGCTCCGGTTCGGGACTGACTGCCGAGGAGCCCGATGGTCGGTCGGGGCCGCCGCGCCCCGCGGGTCTCGGGGGCTCCGGGCAGGAGCGGAGCCGCCGGCCCGATGCGCAGGCCCGGCCGCGGTCGCCGGTCGGTGCGCGGCTGCAGGGCGGCTCCGCGGGGCGGGGCGGGGCGCGGAGCTCGGCGGCCCGGGGCGGGGGCGGCGATGCGGAAGTGCCGGGCGGCCGGGCGGGCGGCGGGAGGCGCTCCGGGCGCAGTGGGCCCCGCCGGCCGGTGCTCGGGGCAGCCACGCGGGCGCCCCGCGGACAGGTAGGTCCCCCGCCGGGCGGGAGGGGCTGGGGCGGCGCGCGGGAGGGTCCTCCGAGGTGCCTCCCCGTCCCGATCGGCTCCGGGCGCCCCGCCCCGCAGCCTCCGTCCCGCAGGGGCCCGGAGCCGGCGGCCGGGAGGCGGGGCGGCAGAATCAGTGTCTCCCTCCCCTCGCATTCGCTCCGCCGGGGATGGATGGGCCGGCGCCTGGCCTTGACCCTGGAGGGGCGAGCCCCGATGCCTCTTCCTGTGCTCTCTCCCGGGCAGGAGGATGGGCAGGAAGGGTTTATCCTCCCGGATCTTGGGGCCATGACAGGCATTCGGGCAGAGAGCGGGGAGATGGTGTCAGGTGGAGGCTCAGACCCTCCGGCCTGAGAGCCTCAGGCTCCGGGCTTCTTGGACTCGTGTCTTTTCGTGCTTCCCTCGAACTGACAACCCAGCGACAAGGAGCCTCAAAGCACAGGACAGAGGCCCGTGTGGCCGCGGTGCCGGCGCGGGGCTTTCCGGACCCGGAGCCGGTGGGGATGGGAGACTTTCCTGGCCTCGTGGGCGCCCGGAGCAGCGGCCTGAGACGGCCTGTGAGCCCACCACTCCGGGCAGCCCGGGTACCCCAAACCAGCGCGCACCCCGCCCGCAGGTCTGCCTGCCTCCCCGGCCCAGAGCGGGAAGGTGACCAGGAGCCCCAGGGCGTCTCGGGCCGTGGGAAGCCCCGGGTCCTGTGGGAGGGGCAGCTGGGCCAGAGGCAGAGCCCCCAAGCTTCCCCAGAACTACTGGCCCGGGGCGCTAGGGCTCCCAACAAGCCCAGGGAGGCCCTGGGAAAACACCCAGCCTAGGGGTTTCCCCCTGCGCCTCGGCCTTCCCCACCAAGCTGCTGGGAGGAGGCTGAGGCGTCTTCTCGCTGCACCTGCTGCCCCAGCCCTTCCTCTCCCTCCCCTCCCACTTGTCCCATGTGTGGTGGTCAGCTCACCTGGAGGCTTTAGGGTCTCCCTGGCGCAGACCCTTCTTCCTGAGCTTCAGGTGGGGTTTGCAGAGAAATGGGAATCGAACTCGGGAGGTGGCAAGGGGCTTGCTGCTCGCCCACTATCTGGGACTGAGGTGCTTTCTCCCCAAGGGATCCCTGGTGCCCACGGTGTTCCAGGCGCCTCATGGGGTGGCTCCTGGGCCTTCAGGGCCCTGGTGTGAGTTGTGGGGCCTCCCCCACCGCAGAGGGGCTCCTGGCTGCCCGGCTGGATGCTGCACCTATGGGGGCTCCCTTGGGTCCTGAGCAGCCCAGCCCCCTGTCCGCGTTTCCATGGAAGCTGATGCAGGCACTGCCATCTTGTCCCACTTTGCAGGCAGACCCCTGGCCAGCGCTGCCCTTTGAGGGGACGTCCAGTCCTGCCCCCAGCGTTGGGATGGACTTTCTGGGGGCGGCCCCATAGCTTCTGGGGTTCCTTGGGAAATCTGTGTCTATCTGGGGGGGATGAGGCACAAATATTAAAATTCAGAACTCCTGGCATTAGGATGTCCGAATGAGAGCTGAGCGTGCCTCTGGCCGCGGAAGGAAGCGTCCTTGGGGAGCTGGCACGGAGCTGGGTCCTGGTGCACCAGCTGGTCCCTTGCAAGAGTCGCCCCAGCCCCCGCAGCTGGCACGGGCACCCCGATACTTCCTCCTAGACGTGCCTTCCTCAGGCTACTCTGCCCCTTTCCAACTCCCAAACCCACACCTGCACAGACCCTTCCTTGGTTCTGCCGGCTTCTGTGGGAGCCCCTTCCACAGCCCCTGCCTGGGCTTCCTGAAGAGGCTGCGCCTCTCGGACACGAGGCCGAGATCATTCCCAAACCTTTCCATTGAACAGCCGTGCTGGGCAGGGGCAGGAGTGAGACTCACCCCGACTTCCTCCTGGCCCTTTCTGCCCTCCCAGCGGCACCAACCCGGGCACAGCCGTGGGCCTCCCAGGTGTGGGGGTCTCCAGGGAAGACTGCCTTCCCTCGGTGGCAACAGAGCCTTCCTCTGTCCACCGTCACTTAGCCAGAACTGCCTGCCACCGAAGACAGCCCTCCTCTGTTCCAGGACCAAGACCTTGGGGGGGGACAACGCTGTGAACCACATGAATGTGCAATGGCCACCAGCAGACCTGGGGGGTGGGGGTGGGGCTAGGGTGGCTATGGGGTAAGAGACTGAGGATTTGGTCTCAGGGACCCGCAGAGAATTTCTCTCCACATTCCTCCCCCCAGCCCCCCCCACAACCCCCACCCCAGCTCCCAGTGAGTCAGGTTTCCGAGCTGCCCAGCCTGGCCACTTTCATTTCCCCTGGTGCTGGGTGGAGGCTGGTACAGAAAGGGGAACTGAGCCACCGTCTCCCGAGGCCTGGGGGCAGGGCTGGAAGCTCCCCTCCCTCCCCTGCCCAGCCTGGAGCGGGGACCTGCTCTGAGGAGAGGCCTGCAGGTGGAGGCCTCTTAGCAAGCGGTGGCACTTATCAGCTACAGCCCTGAAAGGTACCGGTCGGGGAATTTCAGAAGAAACTGAGGCTCAGTGCTCCCAGGCCAGAGCAGACGTGGAACCACAGAGAGGAGTCAGCCTCCCACCCAGGCAGGCCAGGGAGCCTCCTCGGCTTGAGCACCCCCAGGCAGCAGCCTGGCTTTAGCTGTTGGAAAATTCTTCAACCTGAGGCTTTCCTGGTGTTGACTCAAACCCTAGTCCCTCTGTGCTTGGCGCTACCTCAGATATTAAGGGTAACTCTCATCCCCACCCACAGTGTTCACTGCACCAGCCCTGCTATCCCATTTCCTTCAGCAGTTCCTTCCCTGATTGGCCCCTGCCTCGGACCCTTGCCTCTGTCACAACCTTCCTCCACCCCTCCCCACCTCAGCCCTGCAGCCTTCCTCTGGGTTCTTGGGGTCTGTCTGGTTTCCTCACTCTCTTAGATCAGAGGGGATGGGAGGCAGAGACTGGCCTGGGGAGGTGGCACTGGCTCCCAGTGGGCAGCTGTTATACCTTTCCTCTGTAGCCCCCATGGCTCTGGGCAGCACAGGTCTGGAAAGCGTTTGGTGCTTACCAATTACTGGAAGAATGCATGGTTCAGAGGGTCTAGGAAGTTGATGGCTTTACAAGGAGGTAGACTGAGTGTGCTGATGGGACTTCGCTCAAGAAGTCCAGGTTGGGGAAGCTTGATCCCGGAGGGAACTGAGGGAGAAAGGAAGCTCTGGGGACTGGGTGTGGAAACCGTCCCTCCATGCTCAGGTCTACCTAGTTCTTAGGCCAGGTTTCCTAGAAGGCAGTTTGCTGGAAGCTAATCCAGCATGTCATAATAAGTGCAAGAAGTCCTCAAAAGGTTGATGGGCTTCTATATCCAGCAGGGCTAAAGATACATATTATTGCCTGTTTGAGTAGCAGAAAGTATTCCCCAAACTTGACAACCTGCATATATTACTGCTGGCTCCTGGGACAGCTTGGGCAGTTTCTCCAACCTGACAATGCCTACTGTATACCAAGCCTTGCTTTGGATATGTAGATCTGCTTTGCTTTAGGGCAATTTGTGTTATTAAAAAGCTAGGGATCCAGGGATTCGGGGAACTTGGTTGCTATAGCTCAGTCTCCTCTGGCTCCCCAAAATGCCTTCCAAATTTATATTTCTAGTCTCTTTACTAATTTACATGCAGCCGCTTCTCCAGATTCCCGAACCCTTTTAGATGCTGAGAAAGACCCCAGCAGCAGTTTAGTCAGGGAGGAGGAAAGGGAGAGGGCAGGGTGGGGCGGGGAGAATGCTAAGCAGGGATGTGGAATCAGCTGGAGGCTGGCTGCAGCCTGGCCCTGGGCCCTGGGGTACGCACACAGGAGCACCAGCTTGCTCCTCCTGAAGCCTTTTGTCCCTGTGTGTCCATCACTCACTGCCCACGGCTGTCTCCCGAGGGGAGGAGTGGGCCTGGCCTGGAGTGAGCCTAGGAGGGCAGTTTTCAAGATGAACAGCTCTGAGCCTCTTGCTGTGCCAGCCTCCTGACTGCTGGGGAAGCGATGCCCTATCTGGTAGAGGGTGTCTGGGTGGGACATCCATTACACTGTAACCCCCTCCTTCCCTTCCCCCCAAACACAGCACAGGTGCAGGGACCCTGTGACGGAAAGCTGATGGTTGGAAAGGGAACCGGCTTTGAGCGCCTGGATGGACTGGAGAGACTCCAGCCCCCAGTGCTGGGAGGAAGAGAAAGTCCTAACGCCATGGCCGGGCCCCTGGAGCACCCCCCGCCCCCCCCCCCCCCCCCCCCGCCAGAGGAGTGGTTAGCGTAGGGCAAACCTCTGATGCGCCCTCTGTCTTCTCCCTCAGACCCGTTTGCCATGAACCAGCCTGCCCTCGGGGTCCCCCCTCCGCCCCGCCGTGTGCGGCTGAAGCCCTGGCTGGTGGCCCAGGTGAACAGTTGCCAGTACCCAGGGCTCCAATGGGTGAACGGCGAAAGGAAATTCTTCTCCATCCCCTGGCGCCATGCCACTAGGCACGGCCCCAGCCAGGACGGAGATAACACCATCTTCAAGGTGAGCCACTCACACTGGCCTCTCAGCCAGCTGTCTTGCTGCGGGTGACCCGGGGCCTGGACTAAGGGGACACAGGCATAACCACAGGGGACCTGATCCTCAGGGCAAGGGGGGACTGATGGGCCCCCAGAAGACCTTCCTCCTTCTCCCCCCCTTTGTCCATATCTCGTTCTCATTACACATGCATACACATGCAGGGTGTTTGTCTAGGGTACACATACCCAGAGACAGCAGGCAGCGGTGTAATTTCAACACCCTGAGGTGACTGCTGGGTCTATTTTTTTGCTTGCCTTTTGTTTTCTGCACAAATGCATCTATGAAATGCAAATGTTGAACCAAACTATATGTTGTTTTGTAACCTGCACTTTTTCACTCAACATCAGTGGCTGCTGCAGGTTCCACTGGAGGGGTCCAGCACAGGTTAGCCACCCAGTCCCCGTTTTTGGACACTTCAGGTTGCTTTTAGTGCTTCAGCAGTTGAAGACCACTTTGCCAGGTACATGCTCTCAACTCTTTCCCGTTGCACATCTTCCGTGGTTTTCTTTGGGGTTAGTTCCTAGAGTTAAACATTGCTGGGTCAAAGAGAATGTTTATTTTTAAAGCTGGATATATATTCTTTAGTTCTTGCACTTGATATTTACCTTGTCAAGGTTATTTTTTTGAATCTAAGGCCAAGTGCAACAGCAACTCTGGGTGGAAGGCCTGGGAACATTTTTATTTTTTAAGATTTTTAAAAATTGATTTTGAGAGAGAGAGAGAGGGAGAAGGAGAGAGAGAGAGAAACATTGATGTGAGATGAAAACATCAGGATCAGTTGCCTCCTGCATGCTCCCTACCAAGGATCCAGCCCTCAACCTGGGCCTGTGCCCTGAAGGAAAATGAGACCTTTTGGTGCAACGGGTAATGTCCAACCAACAAAGCTACATTTACTTTTCAAATCCATTTCCTATTTTTGAATAGTGTAAAATGGTTTACAGTGAAAAGTCTCCCTCCCACCCAACCCAGCCACCCGCTCCCTTCCTAGAGGCGGTCAGTATCAGTTTCTTGTTTATCCTTCCTGAGATATTTTTGTGCATATACAAAAAAAATACGTCCTTACCCTTCCCCCAACTTTTGCAAAATGATAGAGGTACATGCATACTCTCCTGCACCTCATGTTCTTGGAGATCACAACATGTCAGTACATCAAAAGCTTCCTCCTTTCCCCCCTTGCTCCCCAGTCTTCCATAGTTAATTTAACCAGCCCCCATTGATGGACATTTAGGTTATTTTGGGTCTTTCACTTTTACAAAGTGTTGCAATGAATAACCTTGAATGTGCAGAATTTTGTGTGGACGCTTCTGTATCTGTAGGAATGGTTGGATTAAAGGGTAGAAACATTTGTAATCCTGAGATCAACCAAATTGCTCTCCAGAATAATGATACCCACAATTCAGGTGTACAGAGCCGATCCAAGCACAGACACAGTCAGTTCGGAGAGCTTTACGGGCCCTCAAGTTTTGACAGCCACCCTGTGGAGTAGGCACTACAATGGGGAGACCAAAGCAAAGAAAGACAAAATGGCATGCCCCTGGCATACAACGGCGGTGGCAGTTTCTGGATCCCAACCCACACCCACACCCAGGCCCCATGCTCTCGTCCACCACGTGACACCATCCTCCCTGGAGACTGTGCGTGCCACCCTCCAGGAGCAGTGAACGTAACGCCTTTCAAAGCACCTGGCGTCCCAGCTCCCACCTTGCAGACCACAACTCCATCAGCCAGCAGGGTCAGCTTTGGGGAGAGGTGAAGACATTGCCTGTCTTCCTGCCGCAGGCCTGGGCCACGGAGACGGGGAAGTACACGGAGGGGGTGGACGAGGCCGACCCGGCCAAGTGGAAGGCCAACCTGCGCTGCGCCCTGAACAAGAGCCGTGACTTCCGCCTCATCTATGACGGGCCCCGGGACATGCCGCCTCAGCCCTACAAGATCTACGAGGTCTGCTCCAACGGCCCCACGCCTGCAGGTATGGTGCCGGCCCGGTGCAGGCCGCCTCGGAGCCCGTGCACGAAAGCCCAGGCCTTCCGTGCTGCAGGGGTCAGGCACATGCTGCTAGGTCATCACACCCAGGCCTTCCGGGAGTCACCCGGATGGGCCTTTGTGGCCTTCCTCAGCCAGCCCTTGTTCTTGGCTCTCGGTGGCCCAGGAGCTGAGTGCCATGGGGTCAGGGAGGTCCCTACTGATTCCTGAAGGCTCTGCGGCCTTCACCTCACTGGGCAGCTCTGGGCAGGGGAGAAGCCACAGCAGGAGGTGCCACATGTGGCCTTCCTTCTCCTCCCCCCACGGACTCCCTTCCTGTCTTGCTTTGCTCTCCCATCTGCAGAGTCACAGCCCAGTGAGGATTACATTTGTGGTGCAGGAGAGTTGGAGGAGGAGGAGGAAGATGAAGAGGTGAGCAGGTCATTCTCCCAAGGGTCTGCCTGCCCTGCCAGGGAGCGCCTGGTGGGGGCGATCTCGGTTCTCCTCTGCTCTCCTCTGCTCCCAGACCCAGCAGCCCTGATCCTCTGGGAGCCTGCTCTTCCTGCAGCTCCACTCTGAGTTTCTCCCTGGGATCTGAGCGTAGAAACAGAGTCACCACCTTAACGCCCTGGGCTTTGTTCGCTGACTGACCCCCACGGCAGGTGGCAGGTCGGGTGCGGTAGCGGCTACGCCTGTTCAGGAGGCAGGTGGGGGAACAGGGGCAGCAGCACTGGGCTGGGGGCGGGGCCTGGCCTCGCTGAGCTGAAGCCGGGGGAGAGGCCGGGGGAGAGGCCGGGGTTCTCCCGCGCGTTAGTGCCTCAGCCTCAGACGAATGTAATAACGCGTTCTCCCGTGTCTCTCTGGCCTCTTCCCTCCTCCTCTGCCCGTGTCTTCACTTCAGCTCCAGAGGATGTTACCGAGCCTGAGCCTCACAGGTGGGGCCGGGAGGAGGTGTGGTTGGGGGCCTAGAATAAGGAGAAGGTGCAGGTACCCTCGGTACCTGGCAGGGGCTGAGGGTGGGGGTGGGGGGAAGGCCCAGGCTGGGAATAGTGGGCCTGGGAGGCAGTTCCTAGAATCGGCATTAGAGCTCTGTCCCCCCACCCCATCCCACCCTCTGCAGAAGCAGTGCAGCCTGGCCCCCCCATGGCACCCTATTCTTTACCCAAAGAAGATGCCAAGTGGCCGCCCACTCTCCAGCCGCCTGTGGTGCTGGGCCCCCCTGCTCCAGACCCCGGCCTCCTGGGCCCCGCCCCTGCCCCTGCCGACTCCGCTGCCCTTGGAGAGCTCCTCCCAGAGGTCCTGCCCAGCCTGCAGCCTGGGCCCCTGGCCGCCAGCCTGCCGCCCGCAGGCGAACAACTCCTGCCCGACCTGCTCATCAGTCCCCACATGCTGCCTCGTAAGAACCCAGAGCTGGCGGGCTGGGCTGGTAAAGCGGTGCTGGGGGTTGGTTTGCCTGGAGGTTGGAGGATGGCGAAGAAAGAAAGAAAGATGACCATGCCAGCCCTTCCTTGGGGGGGTTGGGGGGGAGGGGGACGTGGACTAGCAGCTGAGCAGAGAAAGCCAGAGAACAGCGGCAGAATGGGGGTGGGGAGGGCGGGGCTCACAGGCGGTGGCCCTGCCCCTCCGCCCGCAGTGACGGACCTGGAGATCAAGTTCCAGTACCGGGGGCGGCCGCCCCGCGCCCTCACCATCAGCAACCCGCACGGCTGCCGGCTCTTCTACAGCCAGCTGCAGGCCACGCAGGACCAGGTGGAGCTGTTCGGCCCCGTGAGCCTGGAGCAAGTGCGCTTCCCCAGCCCCGAGGACATCCCCAGCGACAAGCAGCGCTTCTACACCAACCAGCTGCTGGACTTCCTGGACCGCGGGCTCATCCTCCAGCTGCAGGGCCAGGACCTGTACGCCATCCGCCTGTGCCAGTGCAAAGTGTTCTGGAGCGGGCCCTGCGCCTCGGCCCAGGGCTCGCACCCCAATCCCATCCAGCGGGAGGTCAGGACCAAGCTTTTCAGCCTGGAGCATTTCCTCAACGGTGAGACCCGCCCCCCCCCCCCCATCCCCATCGTGTTCCTCCGGGCCTCCTCTCATCCGGGGGCGGGTTCTCGCCTCTGACTCAGGGTCTCCTTCTTACCTCAGAGCTCATCATGTTCCAGAAGGGTCAGACCAACACCCCGCCTCCATTTGAAATCTTCTTCTGCTTTGGGGAGGAGTGGCCTGACCGCAAACCCCGAGAGAAGAAGCTCATCACTGTGCAGGTATACCATCCTCCCCAGCCCCACCTCTGCACTGGCTTGAATCCCGGGGAATCCTAAGACAAGCCCTCCCCACACCATGGGGGCTCAGGGAAACCAGAGGCAATCAAGGCCCAGGGCTGCTCGAAGTAAAATCTGGTGCCCCTCCTTCCTGGTGGCTGCAGTCCGCCCCCCACCCCCTGGTGGTTGCGCTCCTGCACAGCTAGGTTTGACAGCCCTGCTGGGTTCTCCCTGTTCTTTCTGCTGCCCAGGTGGTGCCCGTGGCGGCTAGATTGCTGCTGGAGATGTTCTCAGGGGAGCTTTCCTGGTCAGCCGACAGCATCCGGCTGCAGATCTCAAACCCAGACCTCAAAGACCACATGGTGGCACAGTTCAAGGAGCTCCATAACATCTGGCAGTCCCAGCAGCAGCTGCAGCCTGTGGCCCAGGCCCCTCCTGCAGGCCACGAGCCCTGGCCCATGCACCCGGTTGGCATGCAATGAGGCTGCAGACAGTGACTGAGACAGGCTTCCTGGAGGCTCTGTGGACTGACCTGGAGGTGTGACAGCCCCAGTGGGCACCTGCCTGGCTGCAGGGTCCTGTCTCCGGCTCTCCTGGAAGTGGATTTGGGCCAAGAAGGAGAGGGAAGAGAGGCCTGAGTTCCAGGTTCTCCCTGTAGAAGCTGAGGGAAGTCAGAAGCCAGTTTTGCTTCTGGGCTCTGCTTTTGGACACGCCTCTCTGCTAGCTCTGGAGGGATTCAGCCATCAACACCCATGAGCAGAGAGGGACCTCCCCAAGGGGAAGCCTAATTGTAAGAGGAAATTGCTCCAGAGTGCCCCCATTTCCTCTGACAGAGCCTCACGCTCTCTGCCAAGTCTCCCCTGGCAGGGACTCTGCAGGGCATGGGCTCGATTTGGGGGTTCCCTAGTTTGAGCCATGCTTCCTGATCTTTCTCCTCCCTGAGACAGATATGAGCACTTAGGTATTATACCAGATACTTAAGGCTGGCAGCTACCTCCTTTCTTGAGAGTCCAAGAACCTGGGGTAGAAAGTGGAATTTATGTATTTTTGGATTAATAAATGTTAAAAACAGACTCGGCTATTCTTTGCTTTTTCCAGTTCCACTTGCTTCCATGCTGTTCTGACAGACCCTCTTTCTGATGCCAGCTGGCCCTCTTTCCCCCAGCTCCTGCCCTCTGTCTCCAGGCTGCTGACACTGGAAGGGCCTGCCTTCCAGTGGATGAGTCAGCGGGCCTCCATAAACACTCCCTGGCTGGCCGCTGTCCAGGAGGAAGTTGCTGGCTAGGGCAGGGGTGTGGATTGGTAAATGTGTGCAGAATTTAAAATCCTGCCCAAGTCATTTTCCCCATAAGAAATGGTGAAAAAAAAGGCTGGTAATACAACTACACACAGGACCATTACATCATACTCATGTATATTAATACACAATTAAATATATTAGGACAATGCACGCAAATTGGTAGCTCAGGGTTTGAATCTGGCTCATAGATGTGATTTTCTGGCCTGAACAATTTTGTTGTTTATCTTTTTTCTGTGAAAGATTTTAAACATCTGTGAAAGTAGGGAGAATGGTATGAAATCCTCATGTAGTAGCTTAAACAATGATCGATTCATAGGCTTTCTCGCCTAAACTACCATCCACACCAGTTGAGATTATTTTGAGGCAATTGCTACACATAACATTTGGAGTGTAAATAGAATATATTTCTAAAAGACAAGGATGTTCTAAAAATAACAAAAATATAGCTGACAAAGTTAATTTCTTATCAAATAACTGTTGTTTAAAATGTAAGATTCTATTCCCTTGCAATTTGGGGAAGAAACTTCAGTGTTTGTTCTGCATTTTGCTTTTGCCTCGATGCTGCTGACTGCATCGATGTCACGTTGCTAACATATTTTATCTCCTGTACTGGTATTTCCTGTGAATTGGTACTCTGGCCTAGATTCTGGATTCTGGAGACTCACCTAGACATAGATTTTTGTTCTGACTTTCTATTAGTGGGTATTTTTGAGTTGTTTCCATCTTTAGTTATCATGCTACAGTTAATAGGCTTCTATATACTTACATCTTTTCATATTTTGCCAGTATATCTTTCAGATGGAGCCCCAGAAATGGAATTTCTGGGCCAAAGTGTAAATGGATATGATTTTGCTAGATATTGGCAAAATCCTGATCAATCTATCAGTGTGCCTATTTTCCCAGTCTGACCAAACAGACTCTGTTGCCTTTTTGGATTTTTGCCAACCTGACAAATGAGAAATAGTATCTCAGTGCCACTTCTTGTTAAGAGCATGGCTGAGTTGAGCATCTATATATGGTTACATGTTCTGTACAGACTTTTGTCCCCCCCATCCCTCTCCTTAAAACCTCTATTGTTGAGAGTATTACAGATGTCCCCCTTTTTTCCTCCCATTGCCCCTTTCCACCTGATTCCCGACCCACCCCTTCACCACCCTATTGTCTGTGTCCATGGGTAATGCATATATGCATACAAGATCTTCGGTTACTCTTTCTGTCCCCCAACCCCCTTCCCTCTGAGATTTGTCAGTCTGTTCCATGTTTCCATGCCTCTGATCCTATTTTATTCACTAGTTTATTTTGTCCATTAGATTTCTTGTTCACTTATTTTTATTTTTAGATTCAATTGTTGACAGATATGTATTTATTGCCATTTTATTGTTTATATTTTTTATAATTTCTTCTTCCCTTTTTTATTTTTATTTTTTTTTCTTCTTACCTTCTTAAAGAATAACCTTCAACATTTCATGTAATACTGGTTTGGTGGTGATGAACTCCTTTAGCTTTTTCTTGTCTGTGAACCTATCTGACCTTTAATTCTAAATGAGAGCTTTTCTGGGTAGATTAATCTTGATTGTAGGTCTTCACTATTCATCACTTTGAATATTTCTTTCCATTCCCTTCTGTCCTGCAAAGTTTTTGTTGAGAAATTAGCTGACAGTCACATGGGTGCTCCCTTGTAGGTAACTAACTGCTTTTCTCTCATTGTTTTTAAGATTCTTTGTCTTTAACCCTTGGCAATTTAATTATGATGTGTCGTGGTGCAGGCCTCTTTGGCTCCTCTTGTTTGGGACTCTGGACTTGTAAGTCTATTTCCTTCACCATTTGGGGGATGTTTTTTGTCATTATTCCTTCAAATACGTTTTCAATGTCTTGCTCGCTCTCTTCTCCTTCTGGCACCCCCATAAGGTGAATGTTGGTATGTTTGAAGTTGTCCCAGAGGCTCCTTATACTACCTTCATATTTTTGAATTTTTTTTTTCTGATTGGGTGTTTTTTACTTCCTCATATTCCAAATAATTGATTTGGTTCTCAGAATACACTATTCCACTGTTTAATCCCTGTAAATTTTTCTTTATTTCAATTAGTGTATGCTTAATTTCTAACTGGTCCTTTTTCATGTCTTGACATTCTCACCAAGATCCTTGAAAATCTCAGAGTCCCTTGATGCTTTCATTAAGATCCTTGAGTAACCTTAACCATTGTTTTGAACTGTGTCACAGTAGTTTGCTTGCTTCCATTTCTTTCATTTGTAATGTTTGTCTCCACATTTTGGCTGCTTCCCTGTATATGATTCTATGTATTAGGTAGAGCTGTTGTCTCCTGGAATTGGTAGCATGGCCTTGTGTATTAGGGGTCCTGTAGGGCCCAGTGACTCAATCTCCCATCACCTGAGCTGGGCACTCTAGATGTGCCCCTGTGGGGGCTGTGTGTACAGTCTTAGAGTTGAGCCTTGATTGCTATTGGCATCACTGGGAGGAATTAAACTCCAGGCCAATTGGCTGTGAGGACTAGCTGTGTCTACAATGGAAGGGCTGTGTCTACAGTGCAGGAGACACCCTATGGAGCAGGACTTGCTTCAGTGGGGCTTTGGTGCTCACTAAGTCTGCTCCTTGAGTATACTGCTGGTAGATGCTTAGAGTGGTAATCTGGTATAATTAGTTGTAATCTGAAGCTGTCCACTGGGTGCACTGGCTCTGGGGCCTCCCAAGGGATGCAAAGTCAGCCACTGCCTCGGGCCACCAAATATCTGCAGATGGCATCACAACTAATGAAATATGAATACACTATTAACTAAATTCCATTATTTCGATTTGATTAGTTTTTATTTAATATCCTTGTTCTATTCCAGGATCCCATCTAAGTTAACACATTACATTTAGTCATTGTTTCCTTAGCCTCAAATCGTCTGACAGTTTCTTAGACTTTCCTTGTTTTTGAGGATATATTTTACAATGTCCCTCATTTTGGGTTTACCTGATGTGTTTATCATGGTTTTTGTAAGAAAGACCACAGAGGTGAAGAATCATTCTCACATATTGAGGGAGCATACTATCATCATGACTTTTTACTGCTGATTTCTACCTTGGTCACTTGGTAAAGCAGTTTGTCAGGTTTCTCTTATCCCTTTCCGTACTGCACATATGTACAGAGTTTTCAAAATTGTTCAACTCAAGGCTCTTTAAGAAGCTTTACCAACTAGAGAACAGTGCTTACACAGTTCTTTGTTTGTCTTTAGTCTTAGTTTTCAGCCACCCTTCTCCTCACTGGCCTGTGCAGCTCTATTTCCTCTTTAGATTGAAATTAGTTGTCAACACTTCAAAATTAGATGTCACCTAGCTGATTTCCAGCTTCTCTCAGAAAATTGGCCAACTTAGAAACATGGTCTCACATTCCCTAGAAGCAAGAATCAGCTGAACTTTAGATGGGAGCGTCCCACAGTTCATGGTCCCCTCTGAGCCTGCTTCACTCTTCACTGCCTTGTCCCAAAGGCTTTTGAGTTTGCAGCCCTTAATAAATGGTGGAGGAGACAGAACAGATGAATTACGGAAGCGTAGAAGGAAGATCTGCACTAGGCGACCACTGGTGGACTTCTTCAATACTGCAGGCATCTCATGGTTGCTGAAAATCTACTCTGAGCTCTACTTACTTTTTGACTTCTTAAAAATTAAAAGCAAAACCAGAAACAGCACACCTGCTGCCATTTTACATAGATTTGTGTTGTAGTAGCCAGTTGTGCATGAACACTACCCAAAAGAGGTGACAGGCATTATCCAGTCCAGAGGTTAAAGGCAGGACAGTGCTGCTGGATTCACTGCTCCTAGCTATGCTAGAGTGCTGCTTGGGAGTGAGTGGCCTGACTGTGTTAGTGTTGAAGCTGGGATCCACAGTACACTGATGTTCGTGACCTCGGGGATGGACACATTCCTCTGACACCCAGTAGTTTCCCTGACAATGTTCATCCTTGTATCCAACTAAATAGTCCCTTTTAATTTCAGACTCCTGTCTCTAATACAGCTTTTCTTTGACATAAATATCTTTTCAGTATTCAGAGCAGAAGAGGATATTGATGGACTTTCCAATCAGAGAATTGTTCTTGCAAACAACTTTCTCATTTGCTGATATTGTATCTCAAAAAATCAGGCATATCTTGTATCATAATATTGGATTTTTAACTTCTCTG